CACAGGGGATCAAGGTACGACTCATTAATGTTGCCAGATCTTGCTCTTAAAGGGGTCATATGATGCTGCTAAAAAGAACATTATTTTGTGCATTTGGCGTAATGAAATGTGTTTATGCGGTTTAAAGTTCAAAAAACACATTATTTTCCACATACTGTACATTATTGTTTCTACTTGCAAATCTTCCCACATTGTGATGTAGACATGTGGGGGCGTGTTAGAATGAGCCGTTTTAGGTAGGCGTGGTTAACTCTTAACTTTTATAAAGAATATCTCTTTGGATTTGAGACTTTAGTGTTTGCAACTTTACAGATCTTCTTTATGCACCAAGAGCTTGTAACACTCCAAAGAGAAAGGAAAAATTGAAATCGCATCATATGACCCCTTTAAAAAATATTATAAAAAACAACAACAAAAACAGCAAATAGGAACATGCCCATAATAAACTCAAATCCAAATGCGTTATCTTGAAAATACTAACTTCGAGATCTGTAAAAAAGTACTCTGGGAATGTTTTGAGTGAACACAATGCTGATTCTGTAGTTCACTGTGACAGTATTTATGTTATGAATGTACACGTGACTTCATACATCTGAAAAACAAGTCTCCACGAGCTGAGGGTGATCATTAGGAGTTCTGTCACTGACACTGCAAAAACACCTCCCAGCATCCCTCCACCCACCAGAGATTCATTTGTACACCTTTTGCTGTTTTGATGGTGGACACGCTCAGCTGCAGAGGCGTCCCGCTGAGCGCCAGACATCAGTCAAACTCTCACGCTTTGTTGTGGCACTGCAGAGATAAAAGACGCCTCTCCAATGCAGTGTGCTGTTGCTGCTGTTGGTATGTTGTAAGAGAGAGTGTTTGGATCAAAGTTGAGTTGAACAGTGACCCGAGGAGGCGTCTTTCTGTTTAATCAAGGATGTCCTGTTCGCAAGCATCAGTACGGCCTTTAAAGATGCCTAATTACATGATATGTGAGAGATTATGAAGACTCTGGTTCCACAGATAATAAAACGGTCAGTTCCAGTACTGGATTCTGATTGGTCAACAGCTGTGTTTTATTCACATTAAAGCACAGCTATGACCGCTTGACCCAACAGTTCTTTGTATCAAAGTGAAAGTTGGCCATTTTTATCCTGTTTATTTTCTTGGTCAATGTCTTTTGCTTTGTTTTGTTTGTTGTTTTAGGCTGTATGACTCTTTCAAATGACTCAAAAGTTGTGGTGATGTAATGCGGTCAAGAGCTGGAAGTACTTCACAGCCATCAACACCACCGCAAAACCAAAAATCCCCACAACGAACAAAAGAACAGCAGTTCCCATAGGAAAGAATAACCCACAAATAAGATCTCTTTAATATCTTGATCGTTTCTCCGGACAGAGCAAACAATGTCCAAATGAACAAATGGAGAATCTCAGATGTTTCCCCAATAATCTGCAAACATCTGCAATCAAAGGTCAGAGATCTGAATATGATCAAACTCTCCAAAAAACAACCTGAACTGCTATTCAATCATTTTATGTCAGTCACACTTTAGTTTGAGGACCAATTCTGACTATTAACTAGCTATTAACTAGGGGTGCAACGGTTCTCGGTAAAAAATCAAACCGTACCGTTCTCCACACACGGTTCGGCATGCACTAGGTCCGCGGTTCAACTTAAATCTGACAATGCATCTGTAATATGGTTTGTTAGAGTTCGGCTAATGCATGTTTCTGTTGATGGATACAAATTCTGACTTCCCAATACATTACAACAAGAGCGATGAGAGAGAGTATTTATTTGTGCTGTTGCTTGTAGTTAGATTGTGTTCTTATTTTCTTTATTTTTATTTGACAATATAGTTTTTTCCCTAAACATGGCTCATACCGAACCGTACCAAAACCGTGACTCTAAAAACCGTGATACAAACCGAACTGTGAGTAAGTTGAACCATTGCACCCCTACTATTAACTATGATTTTTGCCTCAATAAACTCATAATTTGCTGTTTATTAACAGTAAGGTAGTTGTTAGTTTAGGTATGGGGTGGATTAAGGGATCTAAAATATGATCATGCAGAATAAGACATTAATATGTGCTTTATAAGTACTAATAAACAGCCAATATGCTTGTACACTCTAAAAAATGCTGGGTTAAATATAACACAGTGCTGGGTAAAATAGTGACAAACCCAGCAATTGGGTTGTTTTTAACCCAGCGTTTTTTTACTAGTATGTTGAGCATATTTTTATAAAAGCTCATTATCGTCAAATGTTTCTAAAATGTTTATATTCCGAGATAGATTGCTGGCAACAGCCATTTTAGGATAGTTCAGATTTACACTCTAAAAAATGCTGGGTTAAATACAACCCAGTGCTGGGTAAAATAGGGACAAACCCAGCAATTGGGTTGTTTTGACCCAGCGGTTGGGTTACTACCCAGAAGGTTGGGTTAAATATTTAACCCAACCGCTGGGTCAAAACAACCCAATTGCTGGGTTTGTCCCTATTTTACCCAGCACTGGGTTATATTTAACCCAGCATTTTTTAGAGTGTACTATGCATGCAAATATGCAACTAGTTAATAGTGAGAACTGATCCCTAAACTAAAGTGTTACCTGCATCTGAAGACTTCAAAATTGAATGAAATACACAAATAAAAGTATAAAAACCGAAATCTACTGAGGTGTAACTGAAAGCTCTCTTAATCTCCTGAGCTGTGAGCTATAAACGTAAAAACTGGATTTAACCTTCAGGATTAAAAATCACCATAAATCCAAGTCCTGACACATGGCATGATGTGTATGTATAAATTCCTGCACAAACATACAAGTAAGACTCCTTTCCTTCAGTTTACACATGCTGGAATACATAAGCGAGTCCACCGTGACATTCAGCGTGGCGTTCCTTGCGAACTCCCTGCTCTCTGTAAACAGGATTAAAGGTGCAGTTCGTTGACGCTATTCTTTCCCTTTTTGATATGAAATACTTTACAGCTCAAACGGCTGGATCTCTTCAGACCGCAGGTCTCAGCTGTGCACAAAGGCACTGCGCTTTATTATTATTTATGAGGTGGAACATTGTCAAGTGCTTCTTGTGCTTTAGAATGACCTTCATTTAGTTCGAGGCCATAAACCTTGACCGTCTTATCACGAGGCAGACTCCCTACACGACACCACTACACATCACAAACTGTAGCTTATGGATACAACTCACATCTTATGTGCTGTCTAGAGATGAGCACCTGACATAAATATGGTTTGTGATGTTATATCGGCTAAACACAACAGTGCTGAGTTTATATGGTGAATCATTATGAACATGGCTTGTATTTTGTCTTGATTTCCAGCACAAAAATCCTGAAAATGAGACTTGGGTATGATCACCAAAAAATTACAATTGCATCATCATTTACTCTCCCTCAAACCTGTATGAGTTTGTTTCTGCTGTTGAACACAAAAGAAGATATTTTGAAGAATGTTGGTAACCAAACAGCTGACGGTAGCCATTGACTTCCATAGCATTTTTTTTTTCATACTGTGGAAGTCAATGGCTACCAACATTCTTCAAAATATCTTCTTTTGTGAAAAAGGAAATTCAAACAGGTTTGGAACATCTTGAGGGTGATCAAATAATGACATAATTCTCATTTTTGGGTAAACTATCCCTTTAACCTTCTGGCACGACTGATCCTTACACATATCATTTTGTTTAAATTCACTATACTAGCCACAAATGTTACGAATGTTGATGAATGATGCATCTTTTGAAAGGTCTATGTGTTAAGCATCAGCATCGTTTCATTATGCTTCAGCAACATTAATATAGTAATATGGGTTGGAAATAAAAATAAAAATAAAAACTTCAAGACTTTATGCCTTCATTATAAAACAGCGATCGTGAGATGAATCCAATCCGTCACACTTCAATTGTTAAAGCATCTATTTAAGCATGTTGAAGCATTGAATCTATGAAATATTGATATATAATCCACTGTTTAAATCAGATTTGCCTGAATGATCTGCAACTCAACTTGAGAATTCAATCTGTGGCGGAAGGACTTTTTTTTTTAAAAGACACTCAGTGGTTGTTTTTTATTTATTTAAACACTTGTGTCGAAATTATATATCATTCGTATCTGTCCAATATCGCTCTAAGCACTGATGCTGATATATAGCAATATCACACGGTTATATATACAAGTTTATTCGTCTGATAACCAATATGCAGAAGTGATATTCATTTATTTTACTTCTGTTTTTGACATAATTATAACAAAAACACTGAACTGAACAAACTACACTTTTATCAATACTGTAATTTCACTTTCGTCTGTAATTTCAGTCATCTTACAAAAATGTTACATTTAATCTTCATATTACAACAAAAAAACAAAACACTGCATCTTTTTATTTATTACAACAACAGCAGCAACACTAATATTAACAGTAGGCAAAATAAATGAACATAGTCTAATGTTTTCGAATGAAAAACACAAATAAATGACAGGGGCATCTATAAATGCCATTTATCAGTGAATTAAATATTACAAAAACCTGTATCCAGTTATGCAGAAGTGAGTATCAGTAAAATGTCAGTAAAACTGATTAGCGGTTAATTTCTAGTGCAAGGCTTCCAGTGTCATCTGCTTCCAGTTTTTATCTACAAAACAGCTTGTTAAGCTGCATAATACTGCAAACTGGTATTTCTTATATTATTATAATAATGTACTCTCATAATTATAAACACACTGTTTTGTAGTGCAAACTGTTAACCGCACTTTGTTGTTCTTTTAGATACCTATAGCGGCTAATGAATCAGAGGTTTTGCACATTCACAGAGAATAGCTTATTTCCACATAATTAAAGTGAACTGGACTCAAAACATCTCTTAAAAAATTATCCCCCGAAAAATATATTTGGAGCAGCAGCAGATGCACTGACCGTCAGTACATACAACACACACAAGCACTGGACACTCGTGTTTGCAGCGCTACATAGAGGAACATACATCTCACCTTTGAAAAGGCAGTCTTTGCTGTGGACCACATAGATTCTCCTCCGCTGCAGGCAAGCAGTGCGGTAAAGCTTGCAGTGGTTTTCATAAAAACGTCCGTCAGAGCCACACACGGGCACAAACGAAGTGTGGCAGCTTTCCTGGCACACACACTCGGCACGGCCCGTTTCTTCCCTGACCACACACTCCCGACCCCGGCCACAGTATGCCCTCCTGCACGGACCCCCATCTGCAGAGAGGTAAGGTTAAACGTTAAAAACAGCATCAATTTGTGCGTGATTCATCAGCCTGTGAAACAACGTCATCAATCCCTGTTTGCTTTCATAAGACTGTCATAAAACATGCTGCAGTCATGACATCAAAACCCGGAAGACTAATTCTCCATGCACTGTAAAAAAAATTATCATTATATAATGGGAAAATACTGTAAAACTGCTATGGTAAAAAACGTTAATTGGTTAAGAGTAAGTTACCTTATTATATTGTAATAGATTCAACCTTACATTTGATAAAAAAAAAAAAATACTGTTATATTTACAGTTTTTAAGTGGAAAAGAACCAGCCATCAGTGAAAAGCATAAATTGACAAACTGATAAAATTCCCATATTAATGGCTAAAGTCTGATTACTCCGTATTCAGCACTGTGCTACAATAATGTGCGCAACATGTATGTTTGTAATTTTGAGAAAATTATGTATATGTGTGGTTAGTATAAAAAAAGGTATTTTTAAATCACTAAAATAAGGCCATAAACCACATACTAAACATTTGTTCACATTATATTAGTAAACACAATTTTTATAACTGTAAATTTAAGTTTAATCTGTAAAACCTAAAATGTTGCTACTGTATTTGTACAGTAAAGTTCTGGCAACCACAGCTGCTGTTTTTTACTGTAAATTTCACAGCTTTTTAAATTTAAGATTTTACAGTGTGGGTTCCCTCGTGATTTTCATATGGGTTTTTATAATGGGGATTTTCAGTTTTTCAGTAAAACAAGGTCTGTGGTAAATATTAATTGACGATACAATGTGAATTACCCACACCCAAACTGAAAATGCACATTTTGATGTGTTTACGTTTATTTTTAAAAATATACGTTTCTAATAAGTACATAAGAACTTTTGGCGTGTGAGTGTGTGCAGTTTACGTTGTAGAACAAAAAGTTCAAGTTGCATTTACCATAAACCTTATTTTGCTTATGAATTGAAAAACCCATTATAAAATGTCCATAGAAAAAATCTGAAGGCTAATTGGTCTTCTGGATTTTGGATGTCACGGCTGCATCACTATATAGAGACACTCTTCATCAAAAAAAGTGGTTAGTATAAAAAAAGGTATTTTTAAATCACTAAAATAAGGCCATAAACCACATACTAAACATTTGTTCACATTATATTAGTAAACACAATTTTTATAACTGTAAATTTAAGTTTAATCTGTAAAACCTAAAATGTTGCTACTGTATTTGTACAGTAAAGTTCTGGTAACCACAGCTGCTGTTTTTTACTGTAAAGTTCACAGCTTTTTAAATTTAAGATTTTACAGTGTGGGTTCCCTCGTGATTTTCACATGGGTTTTTATAATGGGGATTTTCAGTTTTTCAGTAAAACAAGGTCTGTGGTAAATATCAATTGACGATACAATGTGAATTACCCACACCCAAACTGAAAATGCACATTTTGATGTGTTTACGTTTATTTTTAAAAATATAAGTTTCTAATAAGTACATAAGAACTTTTGGCGTGTGAGTGTGTGCAGTTTACGTTGTAGAACAAAAAGTTCAAGTTGCATTTACCATAAACCTTATTTTGCTTATGAATTGAAAAACCCATTATAAAATGTCCAAAGAAAAAATCTGAAGGCTAATTGGTCTTCTGGATTTTGGATGTCACGGCTGCATCACTATATAGAGACACTCTTCATCAAAAAAATAAAAAATTCAAATCCCCTCACATTTTTCTCTGAATATCCTCTTTTGATCTCACATTATGAAATGAAACAATGAGTTGCTATCTGCTCTACCATGAATGTCGTAAAACAAAGACAGAACAGCATGTTTGTAATGCAGTTTGGACACACTTTGGTGCACTCTATCCCAGATAGTATGTAAAGTTTCTCAGCCAAGTGTAAAATCTTGCTCCCTGATGATTCCCCCAGTTGGCAGTGGAAAAGCTGCTGAGGTCTGGATGCTCTTTCCAGAGCCGCAGGAGCGCAGTAGGGGAAAACTCCTGCTGGAGTCACGCGCTGGATTTTGGGCTAGCGCATTGTCAATGCCAGTTTTAGTACTTTCTTCGGGCGACAGCTGGTAGGCAGGAAATGATTCCCAATTAATTCCTGACCAATGACTGAGAGCAATGGAGTGGCATCAAACCCGGATCGCCGTCTCCTACTTTGTATACTACTACTCAGCATACTACATGGGCATTACAACGGTATGCACCTTCAGACAGGAGAATGTGTTGACTGGTACAGATTATATGGCACCAAGCAAAAAAATATATAGGCTGCTCTGCAAACTGCTGAGATCTCGTGACTCAGGTAACATCACTACATGATTGCATGTCATATAAGAGCACTTTGGAATTTCCAGCAAAAATAACTATACTGTGATGCATACCATTTTATATAAAATTTTGGTCATATTGCTGCATTTTTCAAATAATAGATGGATGCTGCTGTGACGTGCTCTGAAAACAACAGGGGTTATTTGGGTTAAAAACGTATAAATACTAGCGATTTGGAACAGACAATGCAATATAGTAATAAAAACACATGTGTTGCAACATTATCCAATATAGTCAAACTCAGCACTGCATCATCTTTTACTTTCAGTATCTCTGAAAATCCAGTGTCGAACTGTCTTGCCAACGAATCTGGAGAAAAGCAAACAAACAAACAGTGTTTCACTGACGTGATCTGGAGCTCTTTACTTTACTGTGTCTACACTGGACGCGAGCAGCACAACACGACTAAAGACAACCATTATAATCAGCGATTCTGTCTACGCTGGATGTGATTGACACAACAAATCCCTGACAGTATGTCCCGTTCTATTTCTGATGTACTCCAGGTGCTCGCGCTGACATGAAAGAGAAATGGATTTGTGACACGATGCAACACAACAACGCTCGCGTCTGATCTAGATACGGTGTTAAGATTACAAGGAAGGAGGGCAGTTCAAAGACTCTCCGAGGCTCCTCGGAAGATCTCTATGGTTTTGTTAATGAAGTAATCCTGTGTTTACATCTCTTTAGTATTTCCTCTCCTCCTCCTACAAGCGTGAATCAGTGGGCGGGGCTAAAGAGGCAATAATGTAGAGACAGGTGTTGATTTTCTTCTGCAGAGGCGGTCTTTTGTCACAGTATGATGTCATAATGTGACAAATTCTGAAACGCGACATTTTTTTGCTTGGTTTCAATAAAAGCTGTTTTTAAAATATTTAGAAAGTTTTGAGTTTTGAAACTTACAGGATGTTTTTACTGACCTGTTTCATGTCAAAAAATCAAGGTGAATTTGATTTCTCAGTTCCCTTTAAAGCTTACTGAACTGTTGGACATATACAAACTTTCTTTTTTGGTAAGTTCCTTTAACTATGGTAAAAAAATCAATAAATAAATGTGTTGTTATGGTATGTGTAATTCAAACAATAGGTATCCAGAGTAGCAAGTTAATGGAGTTTTCTTCGCTCCATTCCCAAAATCAGCTAACAATCTCCAAAAATGCAAGCGTTGGAACAGATGTTCTTTATGACCTTTGTTCATTTTACACTTCCGTGATGTTTTCTCCATTAAACAAAAAGACTGCACAAATAAACCACACATAGACAGGGTGATTGCATTAGTTTTATATGGCAGTATGCTTCATCATCAGAAAATCTAAGGAGGAGATTTGGTTTATTTGCTCTGTAAAACACGTTCTACACTTAGAATGCAAATGGGCTTCGTTCATGATACTACATCTGTTGATTTCATCTTATGTGTCGATTATGATGAGTATTATTTGGTATTCAAAACTATGCTGACTGGACTCCGGTGTGACTCTTCAATTTCAACAGCTCTGATAAATATTAAATAACATGACATGCAGCCAAAGTTAACTTTATTTTAAGAAAAACACATACACAGTCATGCTTTCTGATTCTTGCACAATGACGCACGTGCTGAACTTTGATGCTCAGTGTTATGGGTTTTGAATGAGATTAGCTAACAGTAATAATAAAATCTGATCAACAGGGCACAAAATACGTGCCTCCCCTCAAGATCCCAGCCTGCGTCGTTTGGTTTACTAATTATTTACCGCACATCCATAAAGCAACGGCAGACAGGAACACCCGGCCCAACATCGTGACCTTCTTCCTCCGTGTCAAGGTTGCAGACGATTACCGGATCATTTGTATTCTCTGAGCATTGAAGATTAGGCACTTAGCTGAGCTCTGCTTCTGTGAAAATAATTTGTTCTTCTTGGGACGCCTGCTGTCCGACCATCTCTCGCCTTTCCCAGCTCTTTCTCTGCTCCAAGTTGAACAATCTGGTCCAAAACACAAATGCTCCTTTTACAGCACTATTAGCAATTCTGCAGAGACGTCGTACTCTTTGCAATCATGGCATGCGCTCGCTGACAATTCCCAACTGCACTCCGCACTGATTTACTTAAGGAGCTAAAGAGTTGATTTGTAATCCATTCAGTGTGGGCAGCGAGACAATGGTGATACATGAGTCTTAAAGGTTCCACCGAAAGCTTTCAAACTCTGCCAAGCTGCTCAGTAGACGAGCTAATGCGTTTGTTTATCACGACCATTCTTGGGACTGTTAAGAAGCTGCAAGCCACTGCTGGTCCGTCCGCAATCGCTCCAGGCCTGGAGGACAGATGCTCAAACATTTCATAGGAATCACCCGGGGAATCGCAGAGGGAATGTTTGCAAGTATTGTTCATCAGCCGTGGATTGCTCTGGATCTGGTCCCATTGTCATCAAGTAAATGTGACTAATTGATTCCTTTCACGAGGAGTCGCGCAGACAAGAGCGACAGTGGTGTAATCCCTGAAAGCTCACATCATACGAACAACTTCCTCTCTGACATTAGCCACAGACCACCCTCCAACCTCCAGAGCACATGCATTGTAAAGTTCTGCCAGAAAGAATTCGACTTGAACGATGAAATGTTCAATTTTGGAAATGTTCTTTTTAGAGTGTAAACAACTATTCCCTTCAAGCCAGTGGTTCTCAA